TTAGAAAGATGGTTTCCCCTTGCCTTACTTCTAAATTCAGTTCATTGATAGGAAACTCAAACCTGCACCCCCAACGACCCTGTATCCGATGGCAGATAAGTCACCCATAAAAGTACGAGTGTATCTCATATCTAAGCAGTTTTTGAGACAAAATATTGATCTGAACCTCAGACAGTTTTTTCCATTCATCTGTTCCTCTAATTATATCACTTGTGAAAATTGTCTAATGATCTCAGAAGAAAAGAGCTCCTGCAGAATCAGGAGCTGATCAAATTGACCATAGCACAGAGGCATATGTAGAAAAGGCAGATTATTTCTAGCCAGGCAAGTACTCAACTGCTTCAATTTTACTTGCCTTTAAAATATCCAGGACATGCAGTAGGCATAAGAGCATAAAGATCATTCTACTGCAATGATTATCTTCACCACACACCCCTCTGCCCTCACTATACATTCAACAAGCTAGATCTGCTTGGAACTTAACCTCTATTGTTAGACAACAAACGGTTAACGGTGTTGCTATAGTTATTCTTCACCAAAAGTACTGTCTCATACATTTTGCTAAATTGTCTAAATCCTGGTGCGGTATTGATTTCTCCCTCGGTGAGCTTGCACCCATTCAATAAGCTGCAAGAACCTCTCGTCCTGACTGAATTCCCTCCAAAGCAGGACCCAGGCACATTACTCCTGACAGCCGTCCGGGAGCTGGGACCGGATTGTTAGCTGGTGGGAAACAAACCACTGGAGACAGAGAGGACATTTTATGTTACAGTGAGAAACATGGCAGGGGAAGTGAACACGCAGGCTACCAGAAGCATGCATGTTATGATATTTAAACAAAGAAAGGAACCCCATCACATGACTGTACATGTGTACAGGGGCAGAAACAAACCTGGAAGGATGGACATAGAGTACATATACGGGGTTGGGGTTATTTGGGGGCAATGTCATGTTGGTAGCTTTTTGTTTCCTGTATTCTCTGGATTTTTTTTTTTTTTTTTTTTTTACAACAAGTTGAATTAATTTTATAACTAGAGAAAAACACCTGTTTTAGTAAGGAGGAAGGCGTAAAACACAACAGTGTTGTGACCTAACCTAAGGAATATTACTCTATGCTGCCAAAATAGGGAGATTTTCAAAGTTTCTCTAGGACTTCATAAGAAAGCTTCTTTTCTGCTTATTAAATGTTTAAAAGATACAGCATTGGAATTTAGTAAGAGGATAGCACTCATAGCCCCAAGATTACAGAGTTAAGAGTGAAGAAAAGGTTCACACAGATCCACAAGAAGAAAACAACCCACCCAGACATCATGCCCAGAGGGTCTGTGCTCCTCAGGGTGCGGGAGCTGGTGGACAGCATACGGCAGTCTCCTCCCAAAACCGGGGAGATCTCCAGACAGGCACATCGGAACCCCAGAACTTTTAATACGGCCACTTATTTATTTTTCATACACCTGCCTTAAGAGTTCCCTAAAAGAAAGATGTTACTAAACTATGAAGAAATGTGCATACATATAAAATATTTATCTGGGTTTGCTGTCCAGTCTACGGATCTCCACACACCCCCCCCCCCCCCCCCCCCCCCCCCCCCGCCATCGTCTTGAGGCTGGTTGAAGACGAGACAATCCAAGGACTGGCAGCTCAAAGAAAAAAAATTCCTATCATGGCACAGTCTCATGCATCTTAGGCTGGTTTAGTCACTTGCTTTCTTTTATTATTATGCCAAATGTTGTTTAGATTGCAGTCATTTAGTAATGCTACACTGAACACATCAGGGCTTCTGAAAGATTTCTTACCTACTAGTCCCCTCATTTTCATAATCATCACACACTGATATCCCTTTCCAGCCACATTACACTATTATTTAAAAAAAGAATCTGTGTTTTACCGGAGTTTAAAAGATTATGATGCCACGAAGAACACTCTTCAGAAATGTTCCTCTGTGCTATTAGGAATTAGGAAATCTTGTTAAAATTCTGCCAGCTTTTAAGAAACATAAGCAGCTTTGGGATGTAGTGCCTGACATGAACTTTTAAAGTAATTCCCTTGGAGCAGTGATCTGCATTAGTGAGGATAACCAGCTAACGGGAGCACCCCACCCCACTTCCCAGTATTTGAGCAGTCAGTCTAATTGCCCTTGCAAGCCAAAGATGGAAAAGAACCCACACTGCAGACTTTTAAAGCAAAGTACGTTTCACCTTCCCTAATGGCGGGAGAGACACTGTCCATCAGGGAGAGAAACCTTCTTACGCGACTGTCACTAATGAGCCCGGGTTGCTAAGGAGTGTGCTTAGAAAGCAGAGTTTTTTATTTTACTAGTTAGCTTTGGCTCAAGAAAGCAGGACAAAGAACTCCAAGTAAAATTTCAATCACATCTCAATTGTTAAAGGACAACACAACTTTAAGAGGGACATGCTATTCTACAACCCAGAATGAAAAGATGCCCAGTGAGTCCTAAGGGCTCAGAGAGCACTGGGGTTGCTTTCTGCCAGCTGTGCTGCAGAGAAGGTACGGGTCTAGCCGAGCTCTAGATGCAGCTTAAACCGGTGTGAACTGGACTCTAGCTTAGGAAATCCTAGCAGAACTGGCTCACGGGCTGTGGATATTTCCACTCCCAATCAAAGTCTTTTCCAAGTGACAGTCGCCCTCAACATGTGTTTGTGCAGACATCAAGTTCAGTGTGAATTAGCAGTGTCAGTAGGCTACTAAGAAGACCTAGTTCCACCGTAGATGGTGTTAACAGAAGGACAGCAGCGTGGATGGAGGAAGGCCACAGTCCCTCTGCTTGTACTCATCAGACTATAATACATCTTGAGGGCCACACTCAGTTCCTACACTCATATTTTTCTAGGGTCACCACAAACGAGCACAGGCAGGGAAGGGTGACTAGGGTGGAGAGAGTCTTAGGAACATATATGATGGCTGTAGAATTAGGCTGTTTGACCCAGAAATGCAGGCAGGCAGGAGGAAGGGGCATTTGGTGTAAGTGACTTCATGTATTTGAGAGGTTATGATGGGCAGAAAGGAGTAAATCTGAAATGTGGTCTCAGAGGGTAGACCTTGGATCAGAGGGAGAAGCTACAGCAACGTTGACTCTGGCTCCATGTTAGGGATAATTCCTATTCGAGCTGCTCCCCAAAGAAGTGGGTAGCTTAGTATGTTGCTTGGCTTTCCATCAGGAAAGTTCCAGCAGAGAGTGGAAGCTTATCTGCTGGTTTTGCCTGCTCATAGGTTGGAGGTCAGATGAAAGGATTGTTGAAAATCCTACTTACACCGAAAATTTGTGATTCTGGGAAACAAAGTCCACATTTCTAAGGCTTTAGTTCATATGAAGTTTTATAAACTTGAATTCTTACACACTGCATGATTTTCATGAGCAACCCAAGCTCCCTTCTCCCAGTCTACATGAAGGAATAGAACACTATATATGTGCATGTGCTGCTTCTCCATCTGCCCAGATGTGACATCCCAATGCCTGAAACAGCAGTTCCAATGAGCTCACAGACACATATATTCAGCGAAGTCAGTGAACAATGCTCTAAGAATATATGACCACCCTCCCCCCTGCCCACACACACAAAATTGTCATTTGTAAGTAATAAAGAGTAGTCTTAACTACTCTCCTTATCAGGCATGGAGCTCATTGAAGGAGGATGCTCACTCATTTGTGGTACAGATACTGCCCTACAAGCTGCAGCTGACTTTAACGAGGAAACATGGATTGGTTCTAGATGGAATTGACTTATTTTCCAAAAAGGACAAATATGTTTGTCCCCTTCTGTGTGAGCAAACGTGCTGTGACTCTTTATAAGAGGTCCAATGAAAATATTTCCTTAGAAGTATGTAGAGTTATTTTAGTGGTAATTATTAGAGCTCCCCTCGTTTTTATTTCTATAACATGCTTTTGTGTTGTGAATATGTTTTAAAACAGCATATCAAATAATGTGCAAGCATCTTTAGAGGGCAAAAATAATTTCTCAAACAAGCAAATAAAACTTTGCACTTCAAATCAGGCCTTGATTCATTAAAAATCTTAAACTTCTCATGAGAAAAATTAACATTTAAACCAGTGCTGCTTGGCCAAGCACTCCACCACACAAGAATATGAAATATCTCCTCTAAAAAAGTACAAAAAGGACAAAACCACAAATGTGGAACTTCAATTAATTTAAAGCCCCAATCAGCAAAGAATAAATCCTTCGCAGATCTAATTACCAGCGCTCTCGGAAGACCCGGGCCGACCAGCCAATCTTCCTCGTGTTTGAACAGCTTGATGAACTAGGGGACTGATGGATATCAAGTCATTTTGTTTAATTTATAAATGGATTTTCCCCTAATACTTAAATTATCATCAGTACAACACAATGAAAATGGGAACATTCTGAATGCAAAGTCTATAAGAGTCCTGGAAGGAATCCCAATGAGGAATGTCACCTCTGTTCATTCCTCCATACAATTGATCTAATTAAATACGGAGGGTAGAAAGGCAGTTTAAAATGTAGCCATTTCTGTTTTCTTTTTAGCCCTAATTTATCTGCTCACATCTTTCAAGTACCTTCTGATGCTTACCAAAAAAAGAAATTGAGATTTCTGCAAGTCCCTCACACTTTTAATTCTCTGTAAGCTAATATTCAGAGAGTCTCTGCTACAGATTTTGCTGAATAATAAATAAGCGCATTACATGTAGCCACGGTAACAATAAAAGGAAGAGGGCTCTCCAAACCTGAACCTTCCCCTCCAATAATTTGACAGTGACACTAAAGGCCCCAGTGCCTTCTGTATTTATTGCTCACCTGAAATCAGATCCCTGGATTATACTTATTAAAATGTCTCCTTATTTTCAAATCTCTCCTTTATTTAATCACTGCGCGGGACAGAAAGCTGCACGGAATTGTTAAATACCATCAAGCCTATTTATAATCCCTCCGCACTGGCAACTTGTGTGCCATCATTGGCAAAGGTCCTGCCCACCAACCCACACGCTGGGGTTGCGCACCCACCTGGCTCGGGGGTCTCTGACTGGGAGGAGGAGGATGCTGAGCTGGCTCCGTCCTCGGCGGCACCCTGGGAGAGGAGGCCCCGCCCCGGGGGGAGCTTCATGCCCAGCTGCTCTGCCATCTCCACGTGGTCCCCCGGGTGGACATAGTCAAAGACGCTGCTGCCTGTCAGCTCCACCTACAGGGGGGAGAGAGAGAGGGGGAAAGAGAGGTGTCACAGGCTTTCAATGTCATATCCAGGACCGCCGTGATTCAGGTTCTGAGCAGAAAAGGAAATATACGCAGCCCCCAGAAACAATCGTGATTCTAAGTCATTATCCTCAAATGCTTAAGGATTCTTGAAATGGAAAGATTTTTTCCCCCCCGCGCATGTATTTATTTAGAAATTGTTTAGGACAGTTCATCCACTGTTGTTTGCATAAAGCCCAAACATCCTGCGAAATGCGGGTGAGTCTGCCTTGGGTGCAGCTGTTTCATCCACGCATCATCAAATGCTCGCATGTTGCGTGTCAACCGGATGATTGATTGAATTCTACAGTTCTCTGTTGAGAAGTTGGAGCTTCGTATAGAAAGAGCCAGAGATAGCAGATGAGTGTTTTCCTTAAAGCACACGGATTCCCAAGATGCGTATTTATACATATCAGCTTATTTCTATGTAAATTTGAATGGAAGAAGCGCCGCTTAGAAATATATGCAAAGGCATAATGTTTTCATTAAATATTACTCATTAGCTCTGTAATCATATGGAGAATTTTCCACGCAAAAGAGGTCAGCTGGGGTCTGCAGCAGCCATTTTGTGTGTTTTTTTTTTTTTTTTTCTGCTGGTATCAGCTCGTTTTGCCTTCAATCTAATAAAATGCATGGTACGAATCTCCTGGAGGGCTTTAAAATGTTTTATTTTGTAGACTCTTTGTATGAGGCTGCCTCCGAAGGTAGAGAATAAATATGAAACATCAGAGGGGGCTCAGCCTGAAAAGGAGAAACGGCCCATTTCGGTGCTGAGGGGTCAGAAATTGCTGCTAAGGACTGGCCTTGCCTCTGTGCTCCTCTGATGCTGTAGTGCTTCCTGCCTCCCAGGAAGAGCAATCATGCTCCTAAACTAGTGTAGTGGGGTTATAGGTGCGATGACAGGGAGAGATGTATCAGCAACAGAACAAGGAAGAGCTCTTCCCGGGTCACTAATGGGTTTCCCAGCCCCTGCCGTCGCACGGTCTCAGGCTAGCTATGATGTGCCTCAGGAACCGCCCGTTCAGGCTGTCACAGCTTCCTGGCGGATATTTACTTAAAGCCCCTTCCTCCCTCATTGCCTTTCCTGTGTAATTTGCTTCAGGCATCCACATTCTACCTTAATGCCTGCACTTTTTTTTAAAAATAAATATTTTATTGATTTTTTACAGAGAGGAAGGGAGAGGGATAGAGAGCTAGAAACATAGGCCAACTGCCTCCTGCACACCCCCTACTGGGGATGTGCTCACAACCAATGTACATGTCCTTGACCAGAATAGAACCTGGGGCCCTTCAGTCCCCAGACCGACGCTCTATCCACTGGGCCAAACCGGTTTTGGCTGAGGGCCTGCACTCTTTCCTGCGAGAAGGAGGGTTGTCACACAGAGCCAAAGCCCAGAGCAATCACTAGCCTCAGGTCTCCAAGTCCTGGGAAAAGGATCACATCTACTCTCACAACCTATTTGATTAAAATCTTAACAGGCTACTCATCTTCACCATCTATCAATTAACAGAGGTACAGCCAGAAAAACAGGAGGCTAAATTCAGTTTGGTTAATAGCTGTTCCTGAAAAAGGCTCGCATAACTTTTACCGAAAATGAGGTACTTTCTGCTATTAAATTACACTCTCCCGCTGTATTACCCTGCTACCGACTCTATCGTTTTACAATAACTATTTCCTCCATTTGATATTGTTACAGAGAGTAAATCAAAATTCATAAGTGATCAGTTCCTACCCTCTGGGAGGGAGGGATTACATGGAAATAATCCCTTTAATGTGCGCCTTGCCTCTAAGCATTTCACACAGCAGTAAATGGGTAAGCTGACTTTGAGCAATTAGGAAATTAAATGAAACTAATAAAATGTGTGTTTTAATATTTCCTGATGGTTATTTTGTTTGGGGATTAGTGGGTATGAGGGAGTCTCTTTTCCACGTTGCATGGAGTCCAAGCGCACCACTTCAATAAATATTTCTGTCACTTTCCTCAAACCCCGAGCCTTTCTCTAATACTGAAATGTAGCTTTTGGCACAGGCCACGGATTGTGATAAGATGACAACACAGGTGGGAGATACAGCAGAATTTCAGGGGTCCTGGTTGCTGAATATTCATGTAAGCTGATATTATGGAGAGGAGGAGTAGGTGGGTGGCTCCTCGGCCTGGCTTGCTCGGATGTGCAGGCATTTCCTTTCCACAGAATAACATCCTGAGAACAGCGCATCTAGGACAGGACTGTGTCACCCTGTGCCAGCTCATGCTATGGCCCAGTGAGGACCATCTCTTCCGATGATCTCACAGGATCCTGAGGTCAAGAGACCCCAGAGCCTATATTAGATAGAAAGGTAGGGACAATTTAACCATACCACAGTCTTTATGAGTATGCTGTAGCTGAGGTCACATAGTGTGACCTTGTGTAGGAGAAAGTACAAAATACTTGCGGTCATAATTTGACTTGAAAATCAGACTCTTTTTCTCCTCTGCTGTGTGACCTTAGACAACTCATTTAACTTCTATGGGCTTCAGTTCCTATTCTGAAAGGCAGCTGTATAGCTGCTCTGCAGGACTCTGGGGAGGGGGAGGTCATGCTACATGGATAGCACCCCTTGGAGCACCACTCCACGGGTGCAAGGCAGGGCCTGAGAGCTGGGATGAAAACAAAACTTGCTTTACCTGCCTCAAAGCCTAATTTTGAAAATCCAAAGAGAAATACCACCTGACCTCACTCATTTATGGATAATAAAGAACATTATAAACTGATGAACCAAAAGATAGATATAGAGGCAGTAAAGCAACAAGCAGACTGTCAAATTACAGCGGGGAGGGAAGGGAGATCTGGGGGAGATAAAAAATCAACCGAAGGACTTGTATACATGCATATAAGTACAACCAATGGACACAAAACTCTAGGGAGGGAGGGTATGTATGGGGGGGCAATGTTAAAATATGTACACAGATATTAATTTAATAATAAAAGAAGAAACCATGCACAGAAAGTCACTTTGTGCGAAATAAGAGGTACAGGAATGCCTGCTCTTTGGAGGCGGAGAATGGATGAAACAGACATGTATATTCCTGTGTAACTGTGATGAGTTCTGAGGGCTTGTGTGGTCACTTTGGGATGGCACTTTAGCCAGAAGGGGTGGAGCAGAAGGGATGCATGCTTAGAGCCTCAACTATAACAATAGCCATCTTCACAGCTACCTACCACTGTATACAAGTACGTTTCACTCTTTCCTTTGATCATCATAGCAATCTTTAAAACTGGTAAGATCATCTTAATTTTACAACATCATCATCCCATCCCATATTCACCTATCACTTTCAACACTTCTCATGCTGGTTTTTACCTAGTTCAATTTCAAAGCTAGAAGACACTTTCAAAAACATCCATTAATATCCCCTATTTAATAGGTGGAAACGTATGGTTCTGAGAAGTTACAAGGCTTGTTCAATTTTACCCAGGTGTTTAATGGTAGAAGCAGGGCTGCACGCATGCTGGCTAACTATCGGTTTACTACTTCTCTCACTAAACCCTGTGTCTGGTTTGTTTTCCAGTTTAATAAGCCTACTTTAGTGCCTTCTCTTGGCCCAAAAGTCTAATGGCAAAGCATCCTTAGCCCAGGGGATTGCCAGGCCGCCTTCCCTCAGCCTCCTCTCTCCATGGTGCTCAATGTTATCTCCTGAATAAAAGTGAAGGTGAGGAATAGAGGAGCTCAGACTTCCAGTGAAGATGGCGAAATGGGTGGAAGCTGTGTTTACCTCCTCCCATCGACACATACAAATTATAACTAAATTGTAGAAAAACCATCATTCTCAATTACCTAAAGACTACCCAAAGAGAAAGTCGCATAACTAAAGGCACAAAGAAGTGACACCAGGACAGGTGAATTTGTGAAACATGTTGGTCCCATGCCCACGGTGTGGTGATTAAGAATTGGGAGGGATATCTCGGCTACACAGATCCCCTCCTAAGGAGTGGGGGTGCCTAGTCCCACACCCAAGACTCCAGTGCAGGGAAGAAGAATCCCCTTATCATCTGGCTATAAGAAAACCCTGCAGGGATTACATATGAGTGAGATAGAGGGCTGCAGGAGACCTAGGAGCCTTCTTAAAGGACCACTTACTAGTAAAGGTCCTGGGCAGAGACTCACTCGCTCACAAACTCACTCACTCTAGGTGCCAGCCAGGAGCATCAGCCTGAAAAGTGCCGGCAACATACAGGGAGGAACTACATTGACTAGCTCCAGGACCAGGACAGGAGGGCAGGGTGGCTCTTCCCAAGGACAGAGTGGCTGGCAGGTGCAATTGTTCCTTTGCTGACCCCTCCTCCCACTCAGCTGGCACAGTGCAGGCAGGCACTAAATCTGTGCTGTCCATTAACCTGGCTAATACCCTTTATCCTGCCTGGCGATTCCCTGAGGCCCCGCCACACCCAGTTAATGTGTCCAGCCCAAACCCCTTCTGGTGGCTTTTCTACAGAAGAGACCTGCCTAGGTTCATGCTGTGCACTTTCCTAAAATTTCTCAGAAGGCTACAAACCTCGGACAAGTAGCAGCTGGTCTTGGCATTCTCTGTACTTCTTGCTAGTGGCTCTAAACCTGCACAAGAAGTGACCAGTCTCAACTTGCACTGTAATCACCCAGTCTCAACTTGCACTGGCATAAGTGGCTGCTAGTCTTGGCTTGGAATGTTGCTTCAAGTAAGCAGCGATAAGCCTGAAAGAGTGGCAGCTCCTCTCAGCTCACGTGGTGGTGCCCACCAAAGGGTTCCAAGCTTGGCACAAGTGGCAGCTAGCCTCAGTTCATATCACAGCCTCTCCCAAGTGCCTCTAAGCCCAGCCCAGTAGCCACCAACAGTGGATCACTTAGTAGTTCCGACCAGTTGGCGCTGGGATGAACACAAGGGGCAACTGAACTTGGTCTGCACCAGAGCATTATCTAAAAGCTTCACAAAT